CCCTACACTATAGTCATGTATACACAATTCTAGTAAAAGGGCTTAGTTGATCTGGTATAATTATAGATGATGGACAAAGAATGGTAGCAATAAACATAAAGTAAGGAGAGAAAGAGAAAGAACCAGCTTCTGTCGGGAGTCAAACTCAGCCATATATAGCTGCTGGAAGTCCAGTGCACTACGCACTGAGCTACAACTCCCACAGACAAAAGCTGGTCTTCCCCATTCCCAAGTGTACACAAGAACTACGTACCCTTTGGACGCCACGGGGATCTGCCTAAATAAGCAGAAATTGATGTATAAAGTATCAGCTCCTGGTATCATAACCCCCATATAAATTCTTATGGACTTGTGGATACTCTGGACACATTTATGTGTCCGCGGCTGGTTTAAGTGTTAAGGGAAGTGAAAGGGACAGGTTGGGGCTGCCGACCTGCATTCCGCAGACTTTCAGCTTCATTCTGTCCTCTCGTATAGAGGGATTGCTCTTCCTAGTCTTCCAGTCGTAACCGTCACTCCTGTAGTTCTTTGTCTGAGACCAAAAAAAAAGTGCAATAGTCTATACTTTAGCTGTTGTCACTAGCCACAGATATTTGGCCACCAGTAGTGAAGAGCCACGTAGCCTACACTCCTAAACTTGTGTTCTTAATGCATGCAAGACTTTTTCTTGGGAAGAGAAACTATTATTAGAGAGGTGTCCTCGTTAATCGTAGGCATAAGAGACCGGTTAACTGTATCACTGTACTGGTCATGTTACCTTAGTTCTGTTGAAGAAAAGGATTGTTCCTGATGGTGGCCTGAAGAGCGAGAGAGAGAGAGAGAGAGGGGGAGGAGGGAGGAAGAGAGAGGTGTAAAAGGAAAGAAGAAGCAAGGAAAGGGAGAGGGGGAGACAACTCACTGACCAATGTTGCAGAAACTGAATCACTGAAGTTTAACTACACACTTCACAACACACTTCTAACCAGGAATATATATGTAACTGTATGTAAATACACTTCATGACTTCCTTCCTACATCTTTTGACAAATAAGGAAATCATAACTGCACCCAGCACCATCACACACTAGGTAGAACACACATTTGAAAACCACATGCATGCAGGATGTTTGCCCATGACATTCTCATAGAAGAATGCACATTTTATACATGAAGGGTACGAGTTACAAGTTAGGCTTAGTTCAGAAAAGTAGATCAGGAGTTATTACCCCAAAAACAATGGTATTTTATGTACTGTCTCCCTTTTCTACAGTCTTTCTCTTTCTCTCCTTTCCTTCTCCTTACTTGACTGGAACCTCTGTTGTAATCCACTGCTTGTGCGATTCGAAACTGATCAAGTAGCTCAAAATCTCCTGCGAGCAGAACATTCAAGATAAAACATTCGTGATTCAGCAGAGGAAATTTTCAAAGGAAAAAGGTTTTTAACGGAGCCGCTCCAATCCAGACACCAATGGAGCAGAATAAAGTGTCCATAATTAGTGAGGTGTCCTGAGCATTATACAGTGGAACTCCTCTAATCCAGACACCAATGGGACAGAAGAAAGTGTCCGTATTAGTGAGGTGTCCTGAGCATTATACAGTGGAACCTCTCTAATCCATACACCAATGGGACAGAAGAAAGTGTTCATATTAGTGAATTGTCCTTATGTCGGAGGTTTAATTAATTGCATGCAAAAACTGTTCTCGGTGAAAGAAAAGGTGTCCTTATTACAGGGGTTACCCCCAGAGAGGGGCTCATTGTAGAAAGTGTTCTAACAGACCTCAACGGTATTCCATCTGTGAAGGGAGCGAGGGTACGCCACTCTCGGCCATATCTTCTTCCTCCACGTTAGCCCACTCGACAGTTGCCACGACAACGCACTCTCACCTTCACCAATCTGCATCTGGTAACCTGAGGAAAACCACAACAGAAAGTGAAAATAACCCCTCTCTAAGACCCCTGAAATGAGGACATTTGACTGAGATGGTGTTATGGAGTGGAGGGCTACAAAAAGAACGCAGTACATGGAGTGGACTATGTATGTAGCTGTGAAAACATCAGAGAGACTGCCAACTAGCATGTGTGGGAGCCTAACTAACCACATGCAAGTTATATCCCTGTGCATCAATTGACACCAATAACACACACCACACACAGGTACATCTCACACTACATGACAACAATCAACACTGCAAACTGGAATTTCTAACGATAATGTGAGATGGGTTAGAGGATTAGAGCTCGCATATTTGTCAGGCAAAATGGTCAAAAATGAGAATTGGTTGGACTGCTGCACCCCCATGTTTTAGGATGTACACACGTGTGAATGGGAAAAGGACTTTCGATCAGTGACTAGTACAGTGGAACCCCTCTAATCCAGACACAATTGGGGCAGAAGGAAGTGTCCATATTAGTGAGGTGTCCTGAGCATTTATACAGTGGAACCTCTCTAATCCAGACACAATTGGGGCAGAAGGAAGTGTCCATATTAGTGAGGTGTCCTGAGCATTATACAGTGGAACCTCTCTAATCCAGACACAATTGGGGCAGAAGAGAAGTGTCCATATTAGTGAGGTGTCCTGAGCATTATACAGTGGGAACCTCTCTATCAGACACAATGGGACAGAAGAGAAGTGTCCATATTAGTGAGGTGTCCTGAGCATTTATACAGTGGAACATCCTCTAATCCAACACCAATGGGACAGAAGAAGGAAAGTGTGCCATATTAGAGAGGTGTCCTGAGCATTATACAGTGGAACTCCTCTAATCCAGACACCAATGGGACAGAGAAAGTGTCCATATTAGTGAGGTGTCCTGAGCATTTATACAGTGGAACTCCTAATCAGACCACCAATGGGACAAGAAAGTGTCCATATTAGAGAGGTGTCTGAGCATCAGAACCAATGGGACAGAAGAAAGTGTCCATATAGTGAGGTGTCCTTATATCAGGGGTTGAAGCACAGTCCGAAACAGTTCTTCAAAAGGAAAGAAAGGGTGGCCTATAGAGCAAGGTGTCGTCATTTAAGGGGTGTCCTTAGAGAGGGGGTACATAGAACTAATTCCACTGATTTACATAAATAATATGCACCCTTTCGCTGCTGCGTCACAACCCTTGCTGAATTGTCTCCGCTACATTCTCTTGCTACTGAACGCACCTTACATGAATATCTATCACGTGTTGTTTTATAGCACAATTCACACCCGCATACACAACATCATAGATATATGTCACATCGTGTGTGTAAGGCATGTTGTCGTAATAAATACAGTGGAACCTCGCTAATCAAACACCAATGAAGTGTCAATATTAGTGAGGTGTCCTGAGCATTATACAGTGGAACTCCTCTAATCCATACACCAATGGGACAGAAGAAAGTGTCCATATAAGTGAGGTGTCCTGAGCATTATACAGTGGAACTCCTCTAATCCATACACCAATGGGACAGAAGAAAGTGTCCATATTAGTGAGGTGTCCTGAGCATTATACAGTGGAACCTCTCTAATCCAGACACAATTGGGGCAGAAGGAAGTGTCCATATTAGTGAGGTGTCCTGAGCATTATACAGTGGAACCCCTCTAATCCAGACACAATTGGGGCAGAAGGAAGTGTCCATATTAGTGAGGTGTCCTGAGCATTTATACAGTGGAACTCCTCTAATCCAGACACCAATGGGACAGAAGAAAGTGTCCATATTAGAGAGGTGTCCTGAGCATCCAGACACCAATGGGACAGAAGAAAGTGTCCATATTAGTGAGGTGTCCTTATATCCGGGGTTGAAATGCACAGTCCAGAAACAGTTCTTCAAAAGGAAAGAAAGGGGGGCCTATATAGCGAGGTGTCTTCATTTCAGGGGTGTCCTTAGAGAGGGGTTACATTAGAACTAATTCCACTGATTCCACATAAATACTGCACCCCTTTCGCTGCTGCTTCACAACCCTTGCTGAATTGTCATCCGCTACCTTCTCTTGCTACTGAACGGCACCTTACATGAATATCTATCACTGTTTGTTTTATAGCCACATATTTCACACCGCATACACAACATCATAGATATATGTACACATCGTTGTGTGTAATGCATGTTGTCGTAATATAATACAGTGGAACCTCTCTAATCCAAACACCAATGAAAGTGTCAATATTAGTGAGGTGTCCTGAGCATTATACAGTGGAACTCCTCTAATCCGGACACCAATGGGACGGAAGAAAGTGTCCATATTAGTGAGGTGTCCTGAGCATTATACAGTGGAACCTCTCTAATCCAAACACCAATGGGACAGAAGAAAGTGTCCATATTAGTGAGGTGTCTTTATAAGCAAGAACAGTTCTTGGGGGAAGAAGAGGTGTCATTATTAGAGAGGTATCCTCTATTTCAGGGTATCAGCGGTGCACTGTTGAAGACAATGCTACTGTTGTAGTGTGCCATCCGATCCATACATTAGTGAGAATTGAAAATTCCAACCCCGCGCGTGTAACCTGACTTCAACCAAGTACAGTACGTCACCATCCAGCTGTCACATCTGTCGCTGTGTGGTATGATTTGTTAGTATGAAAACATACCGGATATGTTTCAATGTCTAGCTTTCCTTTGATACAGTGGAACCTCATACAATAGACACTCTGAATGAAAGACACCTTCATAAAGAAGAAGATTTGTTCCCAATACTTTTATAAAGGACAAGTACTATCTATGTATAATAAAGGTCATACTCCTAGCGTGTTCTTTTATTGTGAGGTTGCATGGTAATACATGAAGGTATTAGACCATGTGAGAGAGAAAAAATATGGGGAGCTCTGGACAGCTGTTTCGGCTTGTTGTCCCTCATCAGCAGAGCATACCGCAACTTTCTCTCTATACCACAAACACAAAAGAACCCTCTATAAGGGCGCATCATGAAGACGCCCCTTTAATAGGGACGTCTTTTCTTTGCCAAAAAATGAAAAGCACTAAAGTGCTAACCCTCCGCGCAGAAATGTTGAACCTATACACCTGCACTAGAGTACTTTGACCTTCAGTGCACACAAGCACCGATGGTTAATGCAAGCACTTGCAAGCCTCACCACTATTAGTCAACATTATGCACAAGCTCATCACGAAGTGTGGTAGTTTTGTGGTGCAAGCAAATGTATGGTAATAGGCAATCCAATATAGTTATGTTGAGAGGCTTCTTACACATGCAATTGACCATGCATTACAAATATAACTGAATGATATACATCATTTCAACTTATCTATGGCGCAAAACCTAAGGTTGAAAACATGGGCAACCCTCCATCTCTCCAAACGTTGAGGGTCTTAAAAAATTCTGGCCAAAAAGTAAAAAATAACTGAATGTTATACACCATTTCAACTTATTCATGGGTAAAAATAAAAAGATTTGGGCCAGCCCTTCATCTCTCCAGACAGACGTCTACGGACGCAGTGCTATGCCGAACTATACGCTGCCCTTTGAGAAACATGGGTCAGTGGTAGATTTGTGGGTAAGGGGAGGAACCAGAGCTGTTCCCAGCCAATGCTCTGGACCACCTGTCAGTTTCAGTGCGGGATCGGGATTCGAACCGGGCACCTTATGTGACAGTCCCCACGTCTCTAACCACTTAGCCACTCGGGCTGGCCACGGGAGGTGGTGAAAAGTGAAGTGTCCCGATCAGTGAGGTACACTTAATTCCAGGTATACAATAGATGTGTGTAATCAAATGTAGATTAAAAAGGTGGGGGAGTAAAGATGGGGAGGAATAGGACAATTCAAAAACCGTCAAAGTTATTGATGGGGATCTAACGATAGCATACACACAAAAGCATACCATAACAACAGCATTGTAAACGGGTAGTAGAAATATCGTTGAAATCATGGCCCAAAAATGTGCATCGAGGTATGCCTGAAATGACCACCTGTTTGAAAAACAACTCTAAATCTTGCACCTGAGTATCTCTGGCGACTTTATTCAGAGAAAAACTAGACTCCTGGACAAAGCTTGGTCCTTTCTCTTTCCCTCCTCACCTACCAGTTCTTCTGTCATCCATCTACCAGGTCAACTACGACTATACCCTATTGACTCAGTCAAAAATTACATGACAACCACAACAACAAATAGCCTCAGGCACTTTTCTTTAAAATTACTTCTTCACTCCTAAAACTTGCTAACTGTAGCACGCATGGAGGTGAAACCAACTACAAAACAAAACGTGCAGCTCTTCATGTCCCAATAAAAACAGGCCCAGTAGTAAACACTAAGTAGCAAGCTAACTACAGTAGCATTAGCTTACTGTTGTGTAAAAGAGTAACGAGCTTACCCTGGAAAAGATTGCTTGTTGCAGGAGCGGATGATGGAGCCTCCGAAACGTTTCTGGACGACACCTCCATCTCAAAGAGCTTGCTTATTACGCACGAGGGCGGACGGTTGCAGAGGGCTTTAACAGCTGGAGATGATGTGAACGGGCAGGGTGCGGTTAACTGGCACCGAGAGAACCAAACTGAAGGTCACGACGACAACAGAGAAGCAGCTCGCGGACCCCAGCTCGCCGGGAGAGGCACAGGGGGTGACGGTGAGTCTTTGGGGTTCCGAGCCTCTCGCAGGTATATATACACGACGGATCCTGCTACGTGGAGCCCACTACTACTACTGCTGGTACTGCCACCACTCCCCGAGGTCTCTTTGCAGCTGCAACAACCAGCCGAGGGGACATTATTTCTTCCACTTTGTAAGGCTACTGTATACTCGATCGGACCCGAATTCCGGCTCTGAATTTCAATATTTCGCTGAAACCGGCTCTATTTTAGCGTACTTCATAGCGACCTGCGCATGCGCATGGTTGGAGGTCATGAACCGAGCTCAGGACTCATTGAACTTTCATTTACCTATAATCATTATTGTATCATCATACTTATTGTATATACGCACGTGTGAACTAATAATTAGTCTTAGTCCTCCCCCGAGCTTGGCAACGATGTCAAAACAGCTTGAACGATGTCTGAAACAGCTGCCATAGCTCCAATCCCTGCATGTATGATCATAATAGATGGCCAGTCAATAATACACATTGGAATATTATTAGGTACAGTGGAACCACTCTCTAACCAACCCACCCAATCAATAAGGGCACCTCACGAATATCTTCTGTCCCATTGGTGTCTGGATTTGAGGAGTTCCACTGTATAATGCTCAGGACACCTCACTAATATGGACACTTTCTTCTGTCCCATTGGTGTCTGGATTAGAGGAGTTCCGCTGTAGCTAAAACCAACCTTCATCGCCGCAGGCAAGCATCTTTGTAACAGGAGGAATCTCCACGTAGCCCAGCCCTAACAGCTTATCCCTGTGACATGAGGTGAGCTGGTGAGACCACATGGCTGTGTTCATTGCTGGACAGAATAGCAGCGGCTTAGTTGGATCCCAGGCTCTCACTACACAAGTCTGCACACACAAAAAACATCCGTAAATCACATTTTGCCCGCCTTGAATAAAAAGGCACCCGCTAATAATTCTCTATGAAACACAATTTGCTATTTCTGTGCATCAATGCACTATACTCTAATACTCTACACATTGCCTGAATAAAGCTCACCAGTAGATTATCACACAGTCCATTGGCCATTTTGGCCATAGTGTTTGCGCCCAGAGGAGCTATGACGAAAACATCTGCCCACCTTCTCAACTGGGGATAATGACATTTCAACCTGAAGAAGAACACTTCGATAATACCTCAATGTGCAAGATTGGATCCCCCTTTGAGGCCCATACCTGCAAGAAAAGATATACAACCCAGTTTTCTGCCTGAATTATACCTACCCATTCATCTTCGTCTAAGTGACACTTGCAGCCAAGTCGGGTCGAGTCGAAGAAAGTGTGTAGCTCTCTTTGTGGCCACAACCTCTACATCCAGCTGTGAAAGACAGCACTATAGCTAAGTCCACAGTGAAAATTTCCGACAGAGTCACGTGAACTCACGTGCCTGGGGATCCTGAATCTTCTGCAGCTGCTCAACAAGTTCAGGTACCTTTATGGCCGCCACGCTCCCTGTCGCTCCAACTAGGACTCGCTTTTTCCGCGAGGACTTCTCCATGTCCGTCAAGCTCCAGCCACGCCTTTCTAAGGGGCATAGCTCCGCCGTTGTATATAAGGGTCAGAGTTCAGCATTGTTATGGTGAGGACCAATTAGAATAGCCGCCAACTTTTGATTTTTTGGAGGCTCATCTGCTCATGTATGTCTGAGTGACGGAGGCGGAGGGAGATGGAAGAAGAGATAGAAGAAAGCTTGGTTCTGGAGGCAGGCGGTGGAGATACCTCAGTCGGCGAAACCAGTTGGCTACACGGAAAATCCCAAATGCTAGACGAGGTAAAAACAGCCCAACCAACTAGCTAACTTAGTAGCTACGCATATTATAGGTGAATCAACTTGTTGAGCTGATGACGGCAGAGAAATCAAAACTGCAGGAGAAAATTATAGCACTGGAAGTATGTAAGATAACCATAGCTCTCTCTATTGCACTCCTAACAATTTCTCAAGGCTGGGCACCAGTGCCTAGCTCTCGCCATGTGTGCTACTGCACTGGTGTTCAGTCAGTGTGTAAAGCGATCGTGATAGGTGAACCTTTTAGGACAATAACAGCTTTGTCCCCTTTCATTATCCAGTAAACCACACCCTTCCTGTGGCCTGAAAAATCCGTTTTAATATTATGTAGCTATAGTGTGCTCTACACATGCATTGTCACTCATAACGCACCCTCATTTTTGCACATTGATCGTTTTCTCAAAGAGTGAAGTGGACGGCTGCCACAAGCAGACGGAGCAGCTAAGGCTCAGCTCAGAGAGAAAGGAAGAGCACGTTTCAAGACTACAGCTGGAGCAATCAGCTCTCAAGGAGAAAAGCTCTCAGTAAGAAAACAAACAAGCCAATTGTGAGGGAAATGTTTTGTTCCAGATAGCAGCAATTTTTACTATTTCGTCTGATGAGGGCCAACAAGCCCGAAACCTTCATGTATGCATACACGTACAGGCAGAGGAGTCTCCTCAATACAACTCTGCATAGAACAAGGAAAGAATTGGGGAGCAGTCCAGCAACAATTGGACTCCACGACACAGTGTTTAACAGCTGAAAGACAATGGTCAGTATTAGACTATTACTGCATGTTGTGTGCATTTATATACATACGTTCGATTTTACTTCATTCAATTTCACCAGCCACATGGCAGTAAAGTCGAGGTTAGAAAGTTCAGAACAAAGTAAAGCAGACTTATTGCAAGAGCAACGGAAACAAAAAAAGGAAAACAAAAAGGTTTGACACAATAAAATTTGCTAAAAACATTTTCCAGTCAACATCACGATAATATGTATTGTTTGCTAGTTGCAAGAAGTGTTACTGGAGACAAAACAAGAGGCTCAAGATTCCCAATCTCGTCACCAAACACTCGAGTCCCAGCTGAAAACCGCGAGAGAGAAAGACAAGAAATCACGTGAGGAGATTCTGGCTCTGCGAGGAAGACTCACACGCAGCCAACGAGCCCACGAGCAGCTCCAGATCCATTGCTCTGTACTGGAGAAAGAGGTGGAGACTCAAGTACAGAGACTCGCGTCGATGAGGTCACAACGCAGCAAAGAGGAGATGAAACTAGTACAGGAGTGCCGAAAAAAGGTTGGTTTTTTTCACCATAAGAACACAAGCGTTCACTTGAAACTGCTGTAAAAGATGAATACTACACGAGTACATTATATGCCTACTAACTTGCTCTATGTAGGATGAATTGCTGGGAACGTATCTTCACAAGATATCCACTTCTCAAGAAGACCAGCTGATTTTACAGAAAGAAATCAGGTTACCTGTGCAGCTTGTATCCATCCCTCCAACCAACGACAAAGATTTGATAGTGTTTTCTTGTTTGTAGAGGTCTGAAAACGAAACTCTCCTCTGAAGAGAAGCAGAGAAAAGAGTTGAAATTGAAAGTAGAGGTACAGTGTTGATCATCTCGTGTTGGTACTCAAAGTGCCTAGGCTAATGGTTTGCTGAATAGGAGAGTGAGAAGAAATTGCAAGAGCTTCAAAGACAGATGGAAGAACGCACACAGAAGAGGAAAAAGGAGGTGAGATGGGGTTTCCGTTTTCATTGAAACATCTGTGGATGCTACTGGTCGTGAAAGTAGCATACACTTGATTATTGTAGAGTAATGTGTGGTTTCAAGATGGTAGAGTAAGAGGTGGTGTTGTTGCAGGAAGACAGAGCTGGTGAACAGGTGTCTGTGTTGGCAGAGGAGGTGAGGAGACTGACTGGGAGGCTGGAGTCATGTCAGGAGGAGCTGTCTCAGCTGAGACCTGAGTTCCACAGGTTGAGAGAGAGGGAGGAGAACCACAGGCACCAACTGATGGTCTGCTTCTTTCTTTGTTTCTCTGTCTCCTCTGCCCCCCCCCCCCCCCCCCTCCTTATTTCTCCCTTGCATGTTTCCCCCCACTCCTCTATAATACTCCCTTCCCCAAGATACCTTATACTGTTTTCATGGTCCCGGTAGACAAGAAAGACAATGTTCATGTGTGCCCTAAATGTTTTGCACCCATAAACTGGTAGTAAAAATGTTTAACACCCATACACTGTTACACCCATGCATTCAAGCCGTCTCTTTGGTTGACTATAGAGAAAGCAAGAGGAAGTGCACGGTCTCCACAGACAGCTAGAGGCCACCTGGACAGACCACCAGACCTCCCTCCAACAGGCCGAGGCTCGGTGGACGGCACGACTGCGAGATTCCCGCAGTGACTACCAAAGACTGAAGGGCGTTAGCACGAGACGCTGCTCGGAGCTGGCTCAGGAGGTGTGGCAACTGAAATCAACGCTAGAGTCACTTAACCACCAATGATCCTATATGAATTGTACATTTTTTACTTCTGTGTGCAAAGCAGTATACCTAATTGCAATAAACGTCACACGGCAATGCATAAAATATCGGATTTGCTTGTGTTCGAATTCGCATTCATTAGTCTTCTGAAGCCATGTCCAGGTGGTTAGGTGTATTATGCATAACAATGTATTATTATGATGGAGAGTAAAAAAATGCTGATGTTAAGACCACGGGTATTGCAGGTATTGTGATTCAGTTATAGCTGCACTACTGCCACGAGGGCCAGCTATCAGTTGAGTATCGTTTGAGAGATCCATCCTCCAGTCGCTCCATCCACACCCTAACTCCCCTCTCTATCTCTCCCTCCTCTCCCTCTTCTTCTCCGTGGCCAGGGGACATCTTCTTCAAATCCAACACTCCCCATTACTGTCACCATCACTCCACTGTTTTCCTCTTTCGTACCTCCATTTGCCAAAGATTCACCGTTTTCAGTAGCTGCATTCTCTGAACAGTTCCTTTTGTCACTGCTGCTGTAAGAACTCTTTGATCTGGGAATATCGCAAATTTCCTCTTAGCTCCAAAAAGAGCCAAAATGCAAGCTCTTCCTCGCTCACTCTCAGAATAATAGAATCTCATTCTCGTCTCGACTTCTTCCGGGTTCATACTGCTCGCCTCTAGCAATTTCGTGAGCCAACAGCTACAGTTTTCCAAAGCTCCCCAAAATAAAAACACGCGCTGTCGTTTATGTCTCTTGAATATGTCAGGCACGGCAAGATTGTGGTCCTTTGTCACTGAATCGAGGAGTATCAGTATCGACACCGATCCCTTGTGAGCATCTTCATGTGTTGTTTGTATAGCTGAGCAGTGAGAGGAGGGATAGCTAGTGGACATGGGTCACTAGTGTCTCTGACGCTTGCATGCTTCTTCCCTGGTCGATGCCTGCAAAATGAAACGTTGCACAAAATCGTGGCAAGTTTAACATTCCGTCAAACCAGGAAGAAAATATTTTGCAAAAAAGGTCCTGTTGAGGTAAGCTTTACTCAATAGATGTTAATGAAAGGATAATCCCTAATGCTCTACCCATGCAAGAACCAACCAGTGAGAAACCTTTTTGCAATTCTGTGCATGTGGCAAAAACTTTTGCATGAAAACTTCATGGAGTGATGGTCCTGGTGTGAAACTGGGCCTATAACTCTATATACCCACGACATTGTGCAGAGGAGCCGGCCCTAAAAAACCACAGACCCTTCTCCCTCTTTCAGAATCTCCCACTATAGCTACCCATCATACGAGTATTATACATCACCTTCTCCTAGTTTCCTCTGTGATTTGACTGGCTCCCCATGACGCTAGCACAGCACAACAGGCTAGCCATGACGACAGTCATTGTCAGCAAACTCAACACTTGACTGGAGAAAACATTAATATAGAGCCACACATACAGCTTTTCAAACATCAAAGAATTATCATGGAGTTTGCTTTTGTGCGACTTGAATGAGATGAAGCATCGCACCATACTGACTAACCAAAAAATTCGAAGCGTTGATGGTTAAATAGAATCTCAAATGTAGTAATTAGCAAACAAAATTAATGTATTGCGAAAAGCTTTGGAGGGAAATCTTCCTCGAAATTTTCTCCATAGTTTGTTCAGAACTGGACACAGTTAGTGCAAAGTGGAACTCACGAATTGGCAGTGGCTGAATCATAACCCTGGTAGTAAATCTCAGTAATCCTCTCCCACATTCTCATCAGAATACCCTGTAATCAATCATTAGCACCGCATTAATTAACGCTATTGTGACGGAGTTTTATTACAGGAGCAAACTCGTCCAGCAGGTTTGGAGCCAGTTTTGTGGTGGTCTTGAAGCTGGTCAGTCCGGCAAAGTCGAGAAGGTTGTCAAAGTCGACGTTGGAGCCACAGTAGCCGCTAAACCAGTTATACGAGGAGTGGAAACTGGTTTTTCTCCGTAGCAAAATAACCTGTGTGTAATCACAGTACCATGACCGGCATATAATATAAATAGACAGTGAAGGAAATAATTTTGCTAGAGAAAGAGTATAAGCGAGGGAAGGCTGGTGTGGATGGATTCATCCATGAAAGGTATAAACATGAAATTTTAAGGGAATGTGGCAGTGTATTATCATAAGGGCTAAATTTATAAACGTTACTAAAAGCGGAACACAATTGCCTATTGTTTTGTTCTATCTTTAGTAACATTTCCAAATGAAGCCCTTATATTCCACCACAGTCCCTTTAAGTGTCTTCTGTGGAAGTGTAAGAGCAATCTGCGATAATTTTCTCTGTACACCTGTGCACACGACAGTGGAAATGCTCTTTCCACCTAATTGTTTTCTCCTACAAAAGACATACTATTTCGAAGACGAAAACTTACATCTCGTGGTTCTTGTCCGTTCTCACAGCTTTCTCTGCTTCCATTGGTGCCAGGAAAACTATCAATGAACTGACGCTGCCTACTCCTGTCAATGTAGGCCAGAGAAAAACGTGGCCCGCTCTGAGAAGATGCAGACAGTTGAATAGCTTGTCGCCTGAAGGCACTGGTAATGGTGTCATTGTATGCCTCAGATCCTTTAACCACAAGAATCAGACAAAACCTACAATTTGGAAAGCAGCAAAAAACACACACTCGGTCATTATCCCACTGAAGTAGTAACCTCAAGAGCAGTAACATTGAAAGTAAAGGATTCTCAACACAGAGCTGGAAAATTGCATGAAATACATGAAATGGCTGTGTTGGCAAACTTAGCTCAACCAATCGCCTATATGACCTTCCATTGCTGCCACAGGTGCTGTCCAGGGCCTGTTCGGATGTCAGTCTCGGAAGATGTAGACTCAGCCCCTTCATCAACGACCGAAGAACTTCTCCGGTCACTTCAGAACCCTGACAAAACACTCAAACTCAATATTTCAACCGTAGACTAGAGTAGAAAATGATTCAAATCAGAATGCAGCTATTCCCCCAGTGGTCCATGCTACAAACTTTGCAGATAAAACTTCCACACAATAGGCAAATCATGGTTTGTACGCTTTCTTTCTTTGCATGTTTGTAGAGACCTATGTATATACATTAATGTTGACTGTCTTTAAAGGCATGGACTATAATTATGACATTCGCATAGGATCTGAAATACTCTCTATGAGGGGCCTAACCACTGATGTCATCATCATTTCGTTCACCTCCAATACTGCTGCAGGGTGAGGGTATTCCTTAAACACCAGTAGTTTCTTTGACCTCTGCGACACTCCGTATCTCTGAAGCACTCCGAGACCTTTCCCGGAAGGTCGGTCGGTAACGACAAACCCGAAATCAGCCACTAGTTGGTTTGAGAAAGCCACGGCTTTGTAGAGAAGAGAAGGTGTGGGGTGAGGGGAGAATAGGATGAGTCTCGGTCGATTTCTTGATATAGACTCTGTGATAAATGCCTCCACGCCTTCTGCTGTAAGCTGGGAAAGTTTGAGAGAGAGTGATTAATGAGAAGGGGAGGGAATAGAACAGACTGACAAAACTGACAAAACTAAATGGATCAGCGCTGGCAGAACTTGATGGAAGGGAGAAAGGACAGCTTTGTATGGGCAGTGCATAGTGCACTGGACTTCCAGTACACCTGAGTTTAACTCCTGACAGAAGCCGACTCTTTCTCTTTTTCTCACCTCTCTAAAAGGACAACTAAAAAGACGCTTTCTTCACACTTTTGACACCAAAACTTTTGTGTGGTATTAATATTAAGTAGTTAGGTGCTGTGAAGCATGAATACACCCTGTGCATTACTTCTATTTGGTGCAGGAATAAAACTTGTATATGTACCTCAGTAATGATCCACGAGGGAAGGGCATTCTTGACAAAACTCCTGATATTCCTGGCCTGAAGGCGGCCATAATAGTGAGAGACTCTTCTGTTCACCACGGCCACTATCGCTGGTATTCTATCGACGTTGCAGTGACTGGTTACGTCGTACTGCCGTGAGCCGTGCACACTGCCCATCCCTATCCCATTTGACTCCAGCTCCTGCATATATACACAGCAGAAAAACTGTACAACGAAAACCGGGAGTTTTGCGACTCTTGTGAAAACATGAAAATCCGAACTGCCTCAGCATACCATGATTACTGGCTGGCCATGTTTACGAAATTTTAAAATTGCATTGAAAATGGCAAAGTCACTCCCAAAATACGCTGTATATACTACATAGGACCTAAAGTTAACATAACGTGTACTTAGAAAGACTAAAATTGAAAGGAGTTTTACTACAGTATACATGTGCGTGTGTGTCGTCGTGCTGTTTGCTTAGCCTTTGCCTTGAGACCTCATTGTTGACAGATAGAGTATATGCAGAAGTGAAACTATACCGTTTTCAGTTCGTCCCAAATCTTGGACACCTCCCCACACTGAAAGCAAAAGTCTCCAAAGAAGTATAGAAGCCAAAGCCTACTGCTGCTCTCTGGCAAGACGACGTTCTCGAAGTAGTGAGTGGTTACGGTGTCCTCTCGCGGCTGGGTGGTGTGCCCAAAGCCCCCGAAATGGAAAAAACCGTCGCCGGTCTGAAAGAAGGTGAAACCGTGGCTGTTGTGGGTGTGGCTCTGTGACCCAGAGTGGGCGGGGTCTGTTTCGCCCGTCATGTCATATCGTCTCCGAGATTCCTCGCCAGATAGTACCTATGGCAACAGAAAACTCACGATAATGTACATAATGGTTTGAGTCAAACCCAGGGTAGTTGTTGAGGGTTCAATATTATGTGGACGTCGTTTTATGTAATTTTTTCCAGGGTTTGGTTGATTTCGATGCCGAATCTTCAAACTCCAAACCGGACCCCAAATAATATTGTATGATGCTAATACAACAATATGAGCTTAATCTTTAGTGCTAGGCTCACTTCATAGGCCTTGTTTATCTCCAAGATCTTCTCCTGGGCTTGAGGTGATTTGTTCTTGTCCGGATGCCACACGCGGGCCAGGCGCTTGTACGCCGAGCGAATCTCCCTCCGGCTTGCGTCACGTGACACGCCAAGAACGTCGTAGATACCGCCGTCTTTTCTTCCCTCTCCTATTCCAATTAAGAGCGAAAGCAGGAGGAGGAGAGCAACCCGCTCCATCTTCTTCTCGAGAGGATTTTCCTGTATATACACGGTTTTGCCACGCCCCTTCGCGCATGCGCGTATATTGTGATGCGCTTTATTTAGAACCATCCTTCTTGGATTTTCAGTTTGAGCGCCTAAGAAGCGATGGGAAACTTTGTATCTGGGACACCATTGATATCATACATTGCCAACAAGTTCCCTTCAATGGTGAGTGAAGCTGCACTACTACAAAATGGTAGGCTTATGCTAAAAATAAACGCTTCGTTTCGTTGTAGGATTATGAGGGCCAGAGACTCGCTGAAAAGTGTTACCAGTGGATTATAGTTCTATTTGGGGTGAGATGCTCCGTCCTGTACTGCCAGCAGTTTATAACTGAATCCTTTCCTTGTTTCTTCAGGTAGTGGGCTTTATTTGGGGTTACTTCTGTCAGCAGTATATTCAGACGGTGTATGTATTGGGTGCTGGAGTTCTTCTGGCCACACTGGTAAGGAACTGCATGTGGAGACACTCTGCTACTGTAATAAGACTTTGCCATGCTTAAAAGTATGGGAATGCTAATAGACACCGACTGATTGTCCATATGTTAGTGACATGCAGGTAACCGTTCCTAGAAAAAAAGAAACGGTGTCTTTTTAAAGAAGTTTCCTCATTGTCCATCTAAGGGGTTCCACTGTCAACAGGTTGCCGTTTATAATCCTTAATGCTCAGCATCAGAAAAGAATAATTAGTGTCTATGGGATTTGAGGGATTTTACTGAACCTTTCTCTTGTGTCCTCCACAACATCAGCTGGTAATTCCGCCGTGGCCAATGTTTCGAAGACACCCTCTTCAATGGCAAAATTCAAGAAAAGGAAGACAAGGACGACAAGACAAGGCAAAAACATCCTAGGCAGTTGCATTATGTCAATTTGGTCCTTGGTACATGTTAATCATCCTGTATGTACCCAAATCACCCTTCAACTAAAGCTTTTTTGTTGGGATTGCAAAAGTAGGCATGTTGCGCACGCGCGCGCGGGTAGCGCAGCCCCTCCCCTTTTACTGCAAACCTTGCACATGCGCGCGCGCAATAATTGTACCAGCCCCTCCCCCACTTTTGCAAGCTAGCTGAGCTCTAGCTACATAGCTAGTTCAGTTTACAATGATCGTGTGGGGTGTTTACTTTCTACTTGCTGTATTTGACTCTCTCTTCTCCCAAGACACACACGACACGTACGGCTCGGGATAATGATTTCCGAAAACATCGTGGGACGGCCAGAAACGAGAGAAGTCTCACAACAGCTACCAACAACAACAACAACTGCAACGCTATACGGGAAACACTCGAGGGGAACCAGAGAACGCCCGGAACGCCCGAGTTGTCACGGCTTGGGCACTAGTTGTGCTTCAACGACTGGCGATGCCTTTGAGGGACGGACGTTGCCCGGCAGTAAGGAAGAAAGGAGTCCGCCTAGAGTTCGACGGAGGAGCGTAGTACCGCCTAAACCGAAGCCCCCAGCCGGCACGGGTGTAGGTCAAGCAGCCTCTAACACAGCTACCAAAACGCCGGACTCGACGAGACGGTTCTGCGTGAAACCCTACGCCCCGTCCCCGAGGATGAGCGGGAAAAGTCCGCCGATGGCAGCACGAAGAGCACTACACAACGCTCACAACACCCCCTCTTCTCCGTCAGTGACCGTAGGAGGACGCCCTAGTGATGAGCCCGATGGGAAAGCCGGCCCTGCACCCGTACCGCCGCCGAGAAGAAGGAAAAACACACCCAAGAACAGCCCGGTGATTTCAAGAACAGCTCCAGTGCTAAAACCATACCCACCGCCCGTTGTTACGATGGGTCAGCCTACCGCAACAAAGGAGCCCATCAGGCCACCAGTGGCTTCACCACGACGGAGCATTACCTCTCTGAGGAGCGAGGGCAAGAACGACAGTTGTAATGGGGACAGTGTGGGGACATTGTCAGTTGCGGCGTTGCAGAAAACAGATGCCAGCCCGTCTGTGAGTGGACACGGGAGCGATGTTCCTGAATCTCATGACAAACACGAGCAGAGAAAAGAAGCTGCTCAGATTCTGCACGCCAACATCCCCGGAAGCACTCTCACTTGTCGTCAGGACAGTAGTGTCACAGGCGATAATAACCCACTCTCAACGAACGGTGGTACAGTGGTAAACAAATTGCCTGGGGCACACCCTCCAATACCTCCTCGTCTCCGCAAGAAAGCAAGGGGAACCAGTTCACCTAGTTCCTCACCTAAACTTTCGCGAGGGCGGATTCTACCTCAAACTCTGCCGGACGCAGCTATTGCAGTGAAAGATGCTGAAAACGTTCAACTAACCAAAACAGTCTCTGAAACAAAGGCCACTGGCCCAGAAACCCAGGACAACAAAAGCGGCGCAAAACCCCCAAGGGGATATTCAAATGCAGCGTTGACAACAAACACTGGAGAAGGTGAGATAGCTCGGAATACACAACAGCAACAAACGCTGCCAAAACAGCCCAGAGATTATAAGACCAGTCCCAGGTCTCCCCCCACTGTCAAGCAGAGGAGGAACACCCTCGGGAACAGGCCAACCGCCCTACCTCCCAAACCAGCTCCGCCACCCAAATCGCTGGGTTTGCGACGACAGAGTCTTCAACGACCGCTCGTGCCTCGACCGCCCGTGCCTCGACCGCGCTCCTTCATTCCGTCTCATACCCTAGAGAACCAAGTTGCAGAAATGACAAACGGCAAAAGCTCGGTATCTCCGCCACAAAAACCCAGCCCTCATCTGTCCCCTCGAAGAGGCCTTGTACCAGCTACAAGAAACCTTGCCAAGTCATCGCCGAGTCTTCTCGCTGCCGTTCATGAAGCTACTACCCCTGGCGCTTGTCACAATCAGGAATATCCCGTTGCAACACCTCCGAGAACTAGAAAAACTGGTTCTGAAAGTCCAAGTCACATGAGAGGGAGGCGGGCGGGTTCAGACAGCCCTAGTCATGTGCTGGCAGGCATTTTGAATGAAAGGAGAGCTACGATACCCAGAAGTCAAGGAGCAAGCCCGACTCATGTGACTAGTCATGTGACAACGAGCTCAGGTCATATGACAAACAGCCCAAAGAGTCAGGTGAGCAGCAGTCCAAGTCATGTGACCAGTCTTGTGAGTAGCCCTAGTCATGTAACAAGTCAGGTTAGCAGCAGCCCAAGTCATGTGACTAGTCGTGTGAGCAGCCCCACAAGTCATGTGAGCAGCAGCCCAAGTCATGTGACCAGTCAGGTGAGCAGCAGCCCAAATCATGTGACCAATCAAGTGAGCACCCCAAGTCATGTGACAAGTCATGTGAGCAGCAGCCCAAGTCATGTGACCAGTCCCACAACTGAGAGAAGAGGCAGTTCGAGCAGTACCTCTAGTCGCATTCGTGTCCTCCCCACACCTCCCACTCAACACCAGCTCAGTAGCGGTTCGCTGGGCGAAGGAGACAGAGCGAAAATCACTCTCAGACATCTTGAGCACTCCCGTATCTCCAGCGAGCGACTTACCCTGGCATAGTACCGCCCAAACCACCCACAAAGAGAAGGTTCTCGAAATCTTCGTCGGTTGCAGACATGCTCGACATTATGGAGGACGCACTCCCGGCGATACGGATGCAGTAAAGACTTCGAACCTTGCTAGAGAGGTGGTGAAGGAGTTAAAGAGAGTGACAGGGGACGGTGTGGCTGGGGAAAGTGGTGAAGGTGAGAGGGGAGGGAAGGAGGGAGGGGTGCGGGGCGAACCGGAAGGAGCGGAGACGAAAACAGTGGCAGAATCGCGCCGAAACTTGCCCGAGAAACGCGGCGAGGTCGGAAGAAGAGGAAAGAAGACCAGATTGAGTTTTGCCAAACAGCGGGCCATGTCGGTCGGCGACATTTCTCTACTCGAGACTGGACCCGTACAGAGTGATTCCAGTTCCTACACCAGTTCAGAGGGACGGTCTTCCGTGATGAGCTCGGAATCTCCGCTGCTGGAGAGAGCGAGGCAGCTGTCCAAGAACAGGACATGGTGCAACCAGCCCGAGGTGGGTGATTGAGTGTGTTGCTAGGGAGAAAGGGAGTATGTAGAAAGGGGGTAGGGGCTGGTAAAGTTACAATAAAGGGAGAGAAAGAGAAAATGAGAGGATTAGAAAAAGAGAGTCAGTTTATAAAGAAGGGCTAATGGAGAATGGGCGAGGAATCTGTATTTACACTTTAGATGGAATAGAGAGAGAGTTTAGGAGAATGAGGGAAGCAAAATTGTGTGTTCTACACTAGAGAGAGAAGTAGGCTGGGAAGGAAGTTGTTGTTGTTAGTATGTCATGTGAGGCTCGAATCATCTCTCTTTCTTCACTACGTCCTATAGGTCAAGGAAACTGGGATTGTCCAGAGCCTGGCAAAAGAGACGCTACTTCAGCAAGAAGTGAGTCTAGGGGAGTACGATTTTAACACAACGCATGCTTCAACACCTGAACACATGTTCCAGGCATAAGCTAGCTGTTTGGGGCTAATTTAACCCTCCCAGTTATGTGTTTATCACATTTTGCTTTATACCATGAGTTTGCAAACTAAAAGCTCCCCGTCATAATTCCTAGAACGTAGTGTGTGCATATTAATTATGTTAGCATACATGCAATGTCCACCTACATGGTGATTTAAGCATGCATAATTATGTGTATGTGTTTGTGTTGCGTGAGTGTGTTGTTGAATATCTGTGTCATTCAGGTCCGAAAGCAAGCACACATATTGAAGTGTACACATGTCTATACAGACATACACACAACACAGCTCTCCATACCTAACATGGCAATAATGATAGTATATACGACGGTGGTTTACATTTAGGCAATATTAGGAAACGTACTTATCCTCTGAATATGAAAATTATAATTATCTTTATCCTCCTAATAGCACTATCATTTTTCATTCCGAAAAGCCAATAGAAATAATCCCGCTTGTATTTCTTACTCCAAATGGCCAAGGTTGCACCTTTTTCTCGCAACAGCCAATACATTTCAAATAATCACACTTGTATTTTTTCCTTAAAATAATCATCTTTGTAGCTTTTCCTCCGAATAAGCAATAATCACATTTTTATTTTCCTCACAATAGGCAATATTTGAAATAATCACGTCAGAGGCAAGTTACCATCTCAATCTGACGACGCTCATCGATCAGTTCATGGACGATCCCAAACTGGAACCAAATACCCCGGAATCGGCGCTGGACAGGACCCAACACTCCACGATCTTCTCCAACGTGAAGGAGATCAGAAGTATCAGTGCAAGGTACGTTACGTTAAGTTGTGTATATACTTCTAAGAAATATTTTGTTTTGGGATCATCAAGTGTTGGCGAAAAAAGTAGCTAAAGGTGCTCAAAGTGAAAAACGAAAAGTTTTGCAGCTAAATTCTCCAGACAAGCATTTTCGCAAATCACCAAAAGTGTACAAGTGTCAGTACAAACTACGTAGCCAATTTGGAGATGTAAAATTATACAAAATGTCAAATATTTCAGGTTTCTGGAGGAGATTCTTGGGCTGTTTGGAGAAGACGTGTTTCTGGGGAAGATATTTCCCGTCCTAGAAGACTATGTGAGTGGGCATTTTATTGGTCATTTGAGCACAAAGCGAGCCCATCTAGTCGTCTGAATGGCATGCTGGTGCATTTACAGCACTGTTGCCATGCAACAACGCTATACACACTTTGTAGAACGGCTGAAATTTACCACTCGCGTTTCAATTTGTTTTTGTGAAAGCAGCTTTTTACATAAATATTATAACAGGCTAAATATCACTGAACGAACGATGTATCATCAATTGTGTGATATTATTAATGCAGGCAGCGAACAGGTTTGTCTGCTACGAGCGCTACTGTGCCAGTCAGAGCCACAGACTGAAGGAGTTGAAGGAATGCACGTGAGTCATTCACCTTTATTTCTCATGCTGTTGTCATGCACATTAGCAGTTTACAGTTTAGCAACCCACTTATGTCAAGATTTCCTCCCTCCCTCCCTCTATGTTATTGCTAAAGTGTACGAGAAATATAAGCCACCCTATTTTTAACTGCACTCTCCGGCTATAGTCAAGGCATCCTGGATAGTTAATTTGCCTGCCATTCCTCCCACATTAATGTTAATTGTACGAGAAATTGAGGCCTTTTATGCACTGCACTCTCCAGTTACGTATATTATTCAGGATACTTTATTGGTGTGTTTCGCTCCTTCTTTCTCTCCCCTGTCTCTCCCTTACCCTTTCTTCTCCCTCCCTCCCTCCTCCCTCTCTCCCTCTCTCCCTCCCTCTCTCCCTCCCTCCCTCCCTCCCTCCCTTATCCCAGAGAGAAGAGCGAAAACTTCCAGCGTCAGCTCAAAAGGCTCGAGGAAGAAGCCAACCAGACACTCCAGTCTCTAGTCACAGCTCCAATGCAGAGGGTCACCAAACTTCCTCTACTGATGAGCGAAATATTGAAACGAACTCCAAATGACGACCCACGGCGAGAACAAATGGAGTTAACACACAGAGCAACAGCAGAGGTTAAAGGGAATGTGGCAGTATATATAAGGGCTAAATTTAGAAATGTTACTAAAAACGGAAACCGCATTCTTGCACTGGGCCCCTGTTGTTTAGGTCAATCTTTAGTCACATTTCTAAATGTAGCCCTTTTTCCATAGATTGCAGATCTGTGCAACAAAGGAGCTGGGAAAATTGGCGATCTCGTTCACTTGGAAACCATCTGGAAGAAACTTCACTTCGGGCAGTTAAAGGTAGGCTATGAACAGTATTAATTAAACCCTCTTAACGCAACATATTGTGCACGTACATGTATGAATAGCCACAGTACATTACGGTAGCTAAAAGTACTAATAATATTAGGCCACCCAATTACCCATTATTCCTTATTGCAATGCACTTTCCAGTTGTAGTCAAGGTATACGCAACAGTTTTTAGGCATGTCCTTTTTCCAGAACTCTTGCTAAAAGTACGAAACGTTTAGGGTATCACTCCAGCTCTGTATATTACGTATAAGATTACTTGCTACATGTCGATGATTACTCTTTCCTCCCCCCTTGCCCCCTCTCCCCTTGCCCCCCTCTCCCCTTGCCCCCCTCTCCCCTTGCCCCCCCCTTGCCCCCCTTCCCCCTGTGTAGCCATTCCTGATCCTAGCTCCAGGGAGAAAGCTAAAGAAAGAAGGAGCAATTGAGAGGCTCAGGGTCAACAAACGACGAACTCGGGTTCAACCGGACAAAGTACAAAACTACCTGTTTGTGTTTACCGACCTGTTTATGATCACCACGGAGGAAAAAGAGAGACAGTGAGTATGATTATTATCACTAAGTACGGTAGTACTTAGTATATAGGGATGACACAGGTTGCCCTGCATTATGCCCATACATTTGAGATTTTCATGTTTCATGATACTTAGTGTCAAACTATCTATGGACGTGCAGAGAAAACGTTCATTGATTGGTATAGTCCCCTAGCCTTAATTGTTCCCAGGCTCTCTCTCTAGGCACACATACAGTCATGTGGTAGACTACTGCCACGGTATTTGACTGGTACCACAGCTACATCAATAGTACTACTAATCTCCTATAATATTATGTGCTATCCTCACTCACACACCCACACACATACGGTCATGTGGTAGACTATACTGCCACGGTATTTGACTGGTACCACAGCTACATCAATAGTACTACTAATCTCCTATAATAATTATTATGTGCTATCCTCACTCACACACCCACACACACACAGTCATGTGGTAGACTACTGCCCACTGAGCCAGCTCACCGTGGAGCCAATCTCCACCCACCCCACCACTCCAATCCTCGACACCTCGAGCTCTAGCGAAGACAGCTACACCATGTCGGGGGCCGAGTGGACGGTCGCCGTGGCAGGAGAGGAGCACGCATTTCTCGTGACACTGACAGAGAGCGCTGCGGTTGCTAGCGGGAAACAGGGAGGTGACGGAAGCTACATCTTTGTGGCTAAAAGCGAGTGAGTTTTTGTGGAAGAAGAGAGAGATTAAGAGTATGTACATAGAGCTCACCGACATGTTAATGAGCATACTTGGAGTTTAATAATGCGCAAAAGCTTCGTTTATTGGATTGTGGCGAATTACAGATTTGAATTTTTGCATTTTTTCAGGGCAGAAAAGACAAAATGGATGGACACTCTGCGAGAAAGACACAAAGAAGGTAATACAAACCTACATGAAAAGTCAGTGACGGATCCAGGGGGGTTCCTTGGGTTCCGCGGAACCCCCCTTTTTGTCGTTTTGCGCACATGCGTTGCCGGCCTCCTGCGCGCACACGAGCGCAGTCGAAATCGTTCTAGACAGCAGAGACCCCTTTCATAATCCTAGATCCGCCACTGAAAGTGACGTATGTTTGTTTGTTGTCTTCCTCCAGAGGTTGTTAGTAAACCCAAGACTGGACGAAACCTGACAATGTTGACGCGGAAACGACAGAGGGAAATCCCCACCAAGAAATACTGGTGGAAACAACCACAGGTTAGTAGAGGGAGAGAGAGAGAGACCGAAAAACGAGGTTGTGTACAACTTTCTTCACGGTCATTGTGTTGTTAGGTCGAGCAGAGTGGAGTGGTGAAGACATTGACACAGCTTCAACTCGAGCTACAAGAGGTATACCCATGTACATTAGTACTAGAATGGATAGTTGTTGGCGTGCAGAGAACGGTCTGTATGAAGTGGCAACTGCTCGATGTCGGCGCATGCGCTTTCGTCCAGTGCGACCACTTCAGATAGATAATAACTATATTCAATCGATTTGGTAGGCTCGATTAGCTTGCAAAAACATCCAAACTACATTCTGACTATCTGCCTCTAGAATGGCTACTACAGAATAAGAGATGCTCTTATGCTTTTCAGGAAGAAAGCCAGCTGATAAGAGTTCCTCCCAAAACTCATTCGCCTTTGATTTTTCCCTGTTATGTGAGGCATTATAATTATTATATTCTCCCTCTCTCCTCCACTTCCTCAGGCGATATTTGAGGTGGTGACGTCGGAAGAGGAACACCTGGCAACCATGGAAACGCTCGTCAACCACTACATGTCCGACTCCGGTCTGGACCCCAGCTACCCCGAGGAACAGAGGGTCCTCAGCGAAGAGGAATACAACGACATCTTCCGATACGTCAAAGACGTCTTGCTCATCAGCGGAGGGTGCGTTTACACGTGTACGTAGCCTCGTTTCCAGGCCGTTGTCTCTCACACTGAAGGCCTGGGAATGAGGCTAATGTGTACATGAGAACTAAACACATGTAGAAAGAAGAAAACGAGAGAGAGAGAGAGAGAGAGAGGAGGAGGAGGATTTCTCACACCTACATAAAATAGAACAAAACACGACACGTTAACACAGACCAAAGCTCAGACATGCACAACATAGGACTAGCTCTACGTGCCAACCCCTACCTTTCTACCTCGTTACCAAGTTGTTGAGACGTGCGTGAGCAGGTGCACAGTAGCAGGACGATAACAACAATGGGAGTAAGCCAAGACACGTACGCAACACGACTTTGTTACATACGGGAAAGTCTCATGCAATGTATATGGCGTAATGGACCCATTCAACATGTTTCACACAGTGGAAATCCGTCTATAGTTTTCATGCATGGACCAATCATACCCATACATTGTATGAGACTTCTTCTCACGCATAAAGGTATATACGTACGTACATCGTGGTCGACTCTTTTGCACAGGTTGCTGAAGACGCTACATGCCAGACAGCGAGAGAACGTCGTCGTGGATACCATCTGCGATATTCTACTTCTCTGTGTAAGTCCAGCAACATCAGTGGCAAACTCTCGAGGGAAATAATGGACCGGCAAATACCTGCAGTACATACTTTGCAGAGCAAAATTTTGCTGCACCTCACATAAATTTTCAAGTTAAATTTTTGTGGCTGGTGCTTAATTCCCAAAAAAATTTCAAAAGTTGCCCAATATGGCATGCACTCCCACCTACATATTTAGAGCACCTCTTTTTCTTTGTGTTTTCCTAGGCGTCGTTGAATTGTTTGATATGCACTTGATTCATACGTTTTACAATGACGTCATGCAGTGTGTACATACATACGTATGTGATTCTTGTGCAGGTTGAAAGAAGGTTCCAGGGCTACATCCGCTACTGTACCAACCTACCAAACAGCTTGGAGCAACTCGATACCAGCATGTACGTATACGTAGTTTAGAGATGGAAAACACAGAGAGTGAGAAAGAAAAAAGAGAAAACCATAGTTAGAGATGGCGCGTAGTGCTATACGGTAATAGATGATGGAGAGAGAGAGAGAGCAGAGAGGGGAAACGATATGGGTTTGGAGATGAAAACAGAGAAAGAAAAAGAGAAGAGAGAGAGATAGAGAAAGAGAGACAACATCCTCCAAATTCTCGCCTCCATCCAGAGAGAAGAACGAGCCGTTTCGCGGCTACCTGAGACAGCTGGAAGAGGACCAGCGACCGCTCCGCTCCCTCCTGAAGGCCCCCATGGACCACGTCTCCCACCTGCCACAACTGCTGAGGAACATTCTCAGGAAGACGCCCACCACTGAGCTCAACCACTGTCTGGTCGAGGCCACTCTCAGGGCTCTGGAAAAGGTCTGTTGCAAAGGGTTTTGAAGGGGTTAAATGAAACGTAACTTACACTAGTAAAGCACGATTGCCAAACGAGGATTATCGGAATTAAAAAATGGGCTATTCAGTCTAAATTATGAAAAAGTGTAAGCTTATCTCGCTCTCCCTATCCTCGTATATATGTATCTCATCGTATTCATTTCTTAGTGAATGTCGTATTGTGTATTGGTACAATGCCAGGTGGAGAGACTGTGTACCAGTGGACAACAGAAGGTTGAGAAGATCAAGGAACTGTATCTACTGGAGAATCAATTGGACTTTGGCAGCATCAAGGTTCGATCGAAATCCAGCCTATATACTATTTCCTGTTTTAAGTGCACCGTTTCTCTCCCTTCCTTTACTCCTTCTTTCTTCCCCCTCATTTTCTCCCTGCCTTCTTTTCCCCTTTCCCTACCCCTGCCTCCTTCCTTTCTCTCCCTCTCCTTCTCCCCTTTCCCACCTTCTCTTCTATTCTCCTCCTTTCCCTCTTCCTTCCTATCTCCCTCCTTTTTCTCCTACCTTAATTTCTTTCCACCCTCCCTCACCTCTCTTCTTCTCCTCTCTCCCTCCCTCACCTCTCTTCCTCTCCTCTCTCCCTCCCTCCCCAACCAATATCACAACAAAAGCCATTCTCGCTGGTGTCGGTTGGACGATCTCTCCTAAAACAAGGCTCTCTTACTAAACTGAAAGTCTCCCAGTGGTTTGGGAAAGCAGTCCGAAAGAAAACAAACTACCTCATCATCCTCTCCGACTGTCTACTCATCACCAAGAGAATTGAGAAGTAAGTTGGCTTTTTAATGTGCTTATGTACACAGGTCATACGACTATACAGGCAGAAGAAAGTGTTCATCATTTGAGGGGTGTCCTTATTTAAGGGGTAACATTGCTGCTTAAAAGGACTGTTTTTGAGGAAACTATAAAAGTGTCCTCATTTGCGTGGTGTCCTTAGAGAGAGGTTACGTTGTCCCCCACCCCCTATAAATAAGAATAGTCGGTTTGTCACCCTTATTTAATATTGGGGGTGGGCAGCAAAATTTGGGCGAGGTAGGGATAGATGCTGTGAGATAGAAGATTTTACCATTCCATACTCCAACTGTAGCAAAAGTATTAAGGATAGTTTGTTTGTCCCTTTTTCTACTCATGTGCCTCCAAAAAATGCTAAATCGTTGACACAATATGTAGGAGAGAGTGCGAAATTTGGGCGGGATAGGGATAGGTGCAGCGAGATAGAAGACATTACCATTCCATACTCCAACTTTAGTCAAAGCACTAAGGATAGTTGGCTCGTCTCTTTTTCCGCTCATGTGCATACAAAAAATGCGAAATCATTGACACCTTTAATAGGGGAGACAGCGCGTGATAGGGATAGGTGCAGTGAGATAGATGATGGTACCATTCCATACTCCAACTTTAGCAAAAGTATTAAGGATCGTTGGTTTGTCTCTTTTTCTACTCATGTGCCTAAAAAAAATGCTAAATCATTGACACATATGTAGGGGAGAGTGCGAAATTTGGGCGAGATAGGAATAGGTGCAGCGAGATAGAAGATGTTACCATTCCATACTCCAACTGTAATCAAAGTATTAGAGATAGTTGGTTTGTCACTTCTTCCATTCTTGTGCCTACAAAAAATGCGAAATCGTTGACACCTTTATTAGGGGCAGTGAAATTTGGGTGAGATAGGGATAGGTGCAGCAGGATAGAAGATGTTACCATTCCATACTCCAACTGTAGTCAAAGTATTAAGAATAGTTGTTTTGTCTCTTTTTCCACACTTGTGCCTACAAAAAAACGCCTCCCTCCCTCCACTCTCCCTCCCTCCCTCCCTCCTCTCTCTCTCTCTCCCTCCCTCCCTCCCTCCTCTCTCCCTTCAGCGTATACAAAGTGATGGACATGGTTCCCCTGGGCAGAGTTCTAGTTGAAGTAGTAGAACCTCATGCAGTTGAGCACCACTCATCGCTGACTGGAGGCGAGGATGTGCTGGTCGGGGCACGGTGGGCCGTTTCAAAGGCGGGGGAGAACCACGCTTTTCTCGTCACTCTGCCCGACGTAAAGCGAAGCTACACCTTCGTCACCAAGAGGTGTGTTGAAATGGTTAACGACAAATATAGAGGGAGAGAGGGATATGGGAGATGGATCCATACCTCTGTTTGTTGTCACGCTGTCTGATGTCTGATATGCAAAAAAAACTCTTGATGTATAATATAGGGTAGAGACCTCTTTATTCTACTAACTAATAGCTATACAGTGTCATCAAAATGTGTCAGGAGATGGAGATTATTTAAGTTCCCCCTTCAACCTGCAATCTTCAATAGAACACTCAGTTTGTCACTGTCACTAAAATGTGTATCGGGAGATGGAGATTGTCCTTTTACTTTACTCACCCTCCGTACTTCTTCCTGAACGGTGTTGTGTTCCAGTGAGCAGGAGAGGGCGGAGTGGATAGAGGCTCTCACTGAGCAGAATCTCATGTCGTTTGAGGAAGAGACTGACTCCAGTCTCACGTGGGGTGAGTTCTCACCGTCACGTTTTCCTGGAGACTTTCAAGCAAAAGAAACTAATATCAAGGCTTAAGAACTGCCTGCATGCGTTTTCTCTATGAGTATGGACCATTTGTAGAATGAAATAAGCCATCTGCATATCTTCACAAAATCCGTTTTTCAAATAGCAAAACTTTTTACCCCCAAAAAATTTCCCCGTTTCCAGTATAACACTTCAGAGCATGTTCTATTATGCAAATCGAACTGGAGCGTGTTTTGTATAACTTTGTGGACAATTTAGGCTATATAGAGTGTCCGTCCTCATAATTGTGCAGAGTATTTCTACATGGAGGCTGTAGCTGACTACTGCCCAGCCAGCGAATGCAGAGCCCCTGAAGATCTGGACATGAGGAGAGGCGAACTCCTCAGAGTATACAGAGCCAACAATGGTTAGTTTACTGAGAGTATGCAGAGTTTTACTGAGATTAACAGAGTTTACTGAGGGTATACAGAACATAATATCCGGAGTGTACAGGACAAAACATCTAATTAACTGAGAGTATGCAGAGTTTCACTAAAAGTATACAAAATAGTTTACTGAGAGTATGCAAACCAAAACATCTAGTTTACTGAGAAGTTTGGAGAGCTAGTTTACCGAGAGTATACAAAATATAGCATCTAGTTTACTGGGAGTAAACAGAACACTGAGAGTAGATTACTGAAGTATACAGGAATTTACTGAGTGTGTGTCCACAGACTGGTGCGAGGGGCTGAGGTTACACGACTTGCACTGGGGACGAATCCCCACCAAACACCTGTGTCACGCCCCTCCCGGTGGACGGAGGGAGACAGATGGGGCGGGGCTAGGGGAGTGGCTTGCGCAGGCGACTCACGACTTCCCCGGCAACGAATCAGGGGAGCTCCCTCTGGAGAAAGGCGATGTCGTCAAGGTCGCCCGACAACTTGCTGGTCAGTCCCTCTATAGAAGTTTCGGTAGATTACTGAGAGTATGCAGAACAAAGCACAGTTTACTGAGAGTATGCAGAACCGAATAGAACGGAGTATAATAGGCAGAACAAAAACACGGTATGCAGAAAGAGTATACAAAGATGAGCATCTAGTTTACTGGGAACATACAAAACACAACTCTATTATGTTTACAGGTTGGTGTGAAGGGAAGAAGCTCCGTGGCAACCAGTGGGGTTGGTTCCCCAGAACTCACACTCAGTCAATGAGCACCTCTCGGTCTTCGTCCATAGCCTCTTCCTCTCGCCACGCAACCATCAGTTCTTCACACCACTCTCCCTCTCCCCCTCCCTCCCCCTCTCCCTCTTCCCCCATTTCCGACCTCCTTCTTCCTCCTCCTCCACCGCCCAGATAGCAACAGTTGTTATTGTAAATCACCCACTATAATAATTATATAGTTACACCAGACTTATTTTTGTACGCAAATTTTTTAATGCCAACTTAACTAGTCTTATTGCTTGTGATTGTGTTTTTGATTGTATGATGAAAAGTAAACACACGATATTATTAGGCAATGAAAGAAGTGGACATATAGTACAGCGAAAGAGTTAAAAACAGACACGTGTACGTATTATAGTACAGCAAAAGAGTTAAAAACAGACACGTGTACGTATTATAGTACAGCGAAAGAGTTAAAAACAGACACGTGTACGTATTATAGTACAGCGAAAGAGTTAAAAACAGACACGTGTACATATAGTACAGCGAAAGAGTTAAAAACAGACACGTGTACATATAGTGCAACGAAAGAGTTAAAAACAGACACGTGTACATATAGTACAGCGAAAGAGTTAAAAACAGACTATTTAATGCAAGTATAAAATCAATGGACCATAACAATGATGACTATGAACAGTTCAAGAGTGTCTTTTTGCAGCTAACTCGAAAAGATGGTGAGCTAGTGCACGTGTTACACACAAACACTCAACATAAGTCAAAGAAATAAAGGAGAGAGTGTGGTGGAGTATAAATGTGATGGAGTATAAATGTGATGGAGTATAAATGTGGTGGAGTATGAATGTGATGGAGTATAGTGCACGGTCAAAGTGGTGACACAGAGTGAGTGGGTCTCAGTTCTTCTTGCGTCCTCTTTTCTTGGCCATCTGGGGCTGTCTGCTGGGAGCCAGGCTCACAGTGATCCCTGCAACTAGCCGAGGCTGTGTTAGTGTGATACTGTCGTCCAGTTCAGAGACCCTGTGTGATTAGCATAATTTTGATACTCATGTAGTTTATGATATCAGTAATTACGCATTTGACACTGTGTTAGTATTTTCAATTTCCAGCACAAATCTATTTGAACACATAAGGTGTTTTACGGATGGCTATCAAGCCTTTCTCTTCATTTCCCACTGAACAGTTTCCGCTCACTTGTAATGGTTGACGAGGCTCTTGAGTGAGGTGTGAGGAGGGTGTATCTGGGGAGCACCGTTCACCAGCTGGTACTGTCCACACGTGCACAGGATTGGGAACATCTTCACCTCCCTTCCTGAGGACACCCCCAGCTTATAGACACTTGAGACACCGCTGTACTCCCTGTAGATTGAACAGTTCGCAATATAATTATACCACAGCATATTTTTAATGCATTCGGCTCTGAACTATGTATGTGGCATAATCCATTACATTCTTGTGTATTAAAGTAAGACTAGCCTTGGCAGTAAGGCAATATACCAAACTTACTTAGCGCACAATGACAAATTGAAAACACTATATACAGTACTCATACAATGCATACAGTGGAACCTCCGATAAAGCCTCCGAGATAGGGACGACCTCTCTACAAGGGACACTTGTTTCAACCCCATGCTAATAGTTAACCTCCGAGATAGGGACGACCTCTCTACAAGAGACACTTGTTTCAACCCTAAGCTAATACCGTAGTGTATTATTTGACCTCCGAGATAGGGACGACCTCTCTACAAGGGACAAAATCACTGGTCCCATGGTGTCCCTTGTTTGGAGGTTCCACTGTAGTTGTTAAGGATTCATTATAGAGTACTACATGCGGGGCACGAGTGTGTAAGATATAGTTTGTCTTCACTTACTGCAGTTCTTCTTTGAACAGCACATAAGTCCCTCTCGGCTGGCCTGATACCATTTCCTGAACAAAGAAAATAATATGACACTCATGAAAGCTATATACTACACTTTCCCATGTATTAACAGTAAGAGAGCTATATAGTGAAAGTAAGGAAAGAGTGAGCTATATAGTAGGGGGGATATCATGTTGCCAGAGTAAGTGTTTCGTAAACACTGGCACATTATATCTGTCTTCACTGGGTCACCTACTGTATGGAGTCTTTCTTCCCATTTCTCAAGTCATATATAGGCCGAAACCTATAGCTAGAAATCAGTGGCTCCTCATAGGCCCTTTCACTGATTGGGTATATAGCACCTTGCAATAAGTATTGAGAGACAGCTAAACTATGTATACATATAGCATCGACATGGTAAGAAAACTAGGGACAAGAAGTGGCATGGACACAGCATGAAAACTGGTTGGACGGGAATCAAACCAGTTTGAGTGCCGGCCGGCTGGCTCACCACGGCACTGTTGTAGGAGAGGCCAGGATAGAAACCCAGAACACTTGTATCGCTCTCTCTCCGTCCTCCTCCGGGAGATAGTGGCATGTCACTGCACAGATTATGCCATACGTTAATACATTATACAAGATAGCAGGGAAAACTTTCGAGGAAGGATGATGTCATGGACAACTAAGATGCCGAAGTTTCCTCCCAAGATTCTCGTTTGCTGTGCATTCGCAAAATTTTCTCCCTCCAGTCACAAAGCTCTTTGTACAGTGGGTCCCAGTTTATATCGTACTGTCCATGCAGGCCAATAATAAATATGATACTAAGGGGTGTGTACTCCGTGGGACCAACTGTATTCTACATACATACTAGATGGTGTGTTTAATTTGGTGTGAGCTATAATTATACGTATTATAGCTGACCTTTCGTTGCTGCTGGATGATTTCTTTCTGCTGCTTCGTTTGAAGCCAAACCAAGGCTTGTGTTTTCTCTTGTCGGCCTGTAGTCAAGAGATATACGTATATTGCACACTGTATAACTAACTGGTGGTCTGGTGGATGTAAAGTGATACAATGCATCATCAAAAAATTTGGCAGTTACATCAAAATTTTACAGGTTCTGCAAAAAAAACAGGATCACTGTCAATTTTCATGCTCTGTTTAGGCCAAAACCACAATTGCCTCCAGTACTTCAATTCATACAATATGTGCCACCTAAACCTTCGTTGTCCTCCCCATAATATTATTCCTGGTCAAACCTGTGGAGGAGGCGTGTCCACTGCACTCCCACCACTGACGGCACTCATATCAGAATACTGACTAGTACTCCGCGACGTAAACCCACTTCCACCCTCTCCCATCACCCCTACGCCCCCGCAATGATCCATCGTTGTAACACTGTCGTACAAGACGTTGCTCGAAGAAGCCAGTCCCCTCGCTCTCCCAGCTTCAATTCCAATGGGTGGAGCTCCAAGCAGTAGAGCGGACGGGCCGGTTAGTGTCGGGGGATCTTCCAAGAGATCTGGGACCGAACTTGAGATATAGCGGATGTGAGCCTCGCCCCTCCCACTGCTGGATCCACCCACATGGGCAAAGTCCAGTGTTGATTCGCCCTCAGAGTTAGTTACAAGTAGCCTCCTTCGCAGTGATGTGTCTGTGCCGCTACTAGCTGGGGTTGAAGTGTTTCCACGAGTGTTTTCCTGACCTCTGGTGCTGCTGTGAGGAGTGTGACTTGACTGGGTGCCATTCTTCAAGTGCGGCGTCCGACCATTTGGAAGAGATTCCAAATTCGACGATATCAGTTGTAGGGCTGCTTCTCTCTTGTTGGATGAATCTTTGTCGGTCGGGAGGGATTTTACTCCACCGATAGGTCTCTTACCCCGGGGTAATGGGGTATCCATTTTCATCTCAGAAGAACTGAGCAAAATGCTCTCACTCAGTCTTCGGGGTTCGACATCGGATGAATTGGCAGCACCAGGGGATCGGCCATCATTGGCAGCCATTACTGATGATGATGTCGCTGATGATGATGTCACAGACAATGAACGCACTGATGATGATGTCACTGGAGATGATGGTACAGACGGTGATGTCGTGTGGTTAGGAATGACGGAGATGTTTATGGGTCGAGAGGATGATGATGATGACGGATCTAGCACCCGGCGGTTTCTCCTCGGAGAAGTTGGTTTTGCTGCCGTGCGAGGCGGTGGCCGCTTCTTGTGGGAGACTCTATTTGTGATTTCTGCCGGGCTGCCCTCTCTAGATCCCGTGGCACTACTGACGTGGGCGGGGGAGGAGGAGGGAGAGCCGTCTGTGAGTGAGCCTGAGCCAGAGCGACGCGACTCGTCCTCTGACGAACCAGGGGGTTGGGGAGGAGCCTTTTTCGAGCGGGGCGGTGGATATTTCGGAGGCGGGGGTCGCGAAATGTCATTCTCAAGAGTTGGCTCAAACACAGACGGGGGTCTGGACCCCTCGATTTCCGAGGGAGGTCTCGAGGGAACCAAAATTTCCGAGGGGGGCCTGGAAGAGTTCTCGATTGCTGAAGGGGGTCTGCTGCGGTTATTTCCCGGCGAGTTCTGCCTCTTCAGAGCAAGCTGGAGAGCATCAGCTCCACCTAACACAGCTCCAACCTTCACTCCAAACTTCTGCGCCTTTTTGGCTTTTCTCTGCATGGTTGACAGTCCGTCGTAGTCGGTCGAGGACGGACCTACTTCGGTACGAGGAGGGGCCGTCTCTTTCTGACGGTTCTTGAAGCGATTGGGGGCTTCTAGGATGTCGGTTCGATCCAGGGCTTTAAGTAAAGGCTGGTGGACTGTAAGAAGAGAAGGATTACAAAGCAACTGGATCATTAGGAAGAACAGGCACACACAATGCAAATAACACTATAATATACGGCTGTTTCACCATTTTGTTTCAAGTTACAAGTAAGAAAAGTCTTTCTTGCATGCACATGTAAATGACAACTTCTCTTATTGCATGCTTTTGTACACAACTACAAGGTTGCAAGGCAAATGCAACACCCACGGCAGTGTCAGTCCCGCTTTCATGTGGTATGAATGGGTTGTCTTACTCTGTCCGTGTGAGGCAATTTGAGACAAAAGGCTGGCCACCTGCGTCGTCTGGAGTCTACCCTTCTCCTTCAGTGGCTTGAACCTGCACACACACACACACACACATGAAAAGTATATTTATAGCATACTAGCCACAGAGAATAGAAAGAAAACCAGAAGTCACCCTCCACCCCCCATCCTCCACCCATACACAGACACAAACAACACAGTTGCACACAACACGGTAGGACACCAGGTGCCCAGCCCATGTACACCCACATAGTGTATTGTACTGTATTGTTAAGGACTACAACACATGTATGAGGATGTACACTGCTTTCATGCTGCATGTGAAGTCAGAGTGAGCAAAGTGTTGTGGTGTAGCTAGCAGGGAGAAACCTCATCAGGCATTAACAATATCCTGCCACAAGGGACAAACAGTGGAGGAAATACCGAGGTCTAATGAGCCAGGCTCACATACACACGAAAACCCACTATGTATAGTGTATATACAGTGAAACCTCTGAATAAGGGAGACCTTGGTGCGACGTTGAAAGTGTCCTCGTTTATTCAGAGGTGTCCTTTACTCTGGACATAGTATGGGGCATAACCACATGTTCCCTTATAGAGAGGTGTTGAGTCCATTTTCAGGTTTCACTGAATGTAGTGGTTGGCTAGAAAGACTAACAATTCCATGGCTCTGTGGCCGTGTACATTCATACTCCATGACCAACATTGTAAAGCCCAACCCTTACCCCCTAGCTAATGTTGCCCTGATATGCAAACTTCATTTAAGACTAAGCTTGAGTATGCAAGTAGTGGTTGGCTAACATTTTCCTGGCTCTGTAGCCACGATATATCTTCTGGACGAGAGTTGCACTGTCCTCCATTGCTTTCAGGAGCAGCTGGAGTCTCTGCTCATGGTAGTAGCGCAGGAAGACCCGGCTGCGAGCCAGTCGCCAACCGGTCAGACCGGCTTTATCCAGGATCACCTGACACGCCCCCTCCGTCAACTTAACGTCCTGTGACACACACCACACATCATGAACACACAAATCAACAAAAATGACACCAGATATAAGCCAAACCAAGCAAACCCACTTATGTACATATACATACTGAAATTGTGCACTGTCAATAGCATAATGCTTACATACCACTAAAATTTTGCACTGGTGTTCACTCGAAAATAAGCTAATTTCTCTTTACTGTACCAAGGTGTATATCCCATTCTAGAATGTGTTAACCCTTTGGACGCCATAGGTATCTCCTTGAAATTGATGTATAACATATTAACGCCTAGTATTATAGCCATATATAAATTCTTATGGACTTATGGAGACTCTGGGCATAAGAAACACTCTTCAAGCAAGAGCTTGCATTGGCAACATTAGTGAACACACAAAACAGATGACCTCGTCAGTGAAGCAGTAGGCGACGGATCTGTAGCTGCTGACAAAGTCGGAGAAGAAAGGTCTGTAAGAGTAGCCTTCTCTCCTCACTCTCACTGCTTCCAACATCCCAGTATACCTGTAGCACACATACATAATAAGTATGTGGATTCCAACAGTAAATATTTTCCAATCTTCCATCATTTCCAGAGTATACTATGTAGTCTACTTAGTGGATTAAATCATACTGCAGTATAGTAGCTATGTACAAGAGAGAGAGAGAGAGAGAGAGAGAGAGAGAAAGAGAGAGAGAGAGAGAGAGAGAGAGAGAGAGAGAGAACAGGACTAACAATATTACCTCAGTTGGCGAAGGACGAATTCAGATTCAAATTGCAGCGGCTTCTTCTGGAGGTTTGGCTTTATACACCTGTGTAACCAACACACAATTATTATAGTATACTTTATGCTGACCCCAGATGAGTGAGTAATCACAGAGCCACCATAATTACGTATACGTACCTGACAAAGTGAGGAGAAGCAGCAAAAAGCCTCTCCATGAGGAGGTCGAGACTTTCTCTGAAGTGTGCGCTCACTGTCAGCAGCTTCTTGTGATGGTTGGCTCTCTGTCTCTTCTTCGGCGAGTTGGACATCTTCCTGCGACGCTGGGACATGGCCCGCATCACCGAGCGCTGACTGGAAATAGAGAGAAAGAGAGAAAGAGGTTTTTCAGTACACTAATACATAGGTGCTCGAAACCACAAGTTCACAACCACAAGTTCCACAGCAGTGCAAGAGGGGTGCATATGCACTCCTATTAGGCCTCTTACAGGACACACAAACTGAGCTAACCACATTGAGAAAGCTCTTCTCTCGTACAAGGTAAAATATGCTATTAAATCCTCAAGACTTGTATGTAGCCTCTACGGCCAAGGATTTAAACACACACACACACAATAAAAACTACGCTGCACGTTTTATATGTAATTACACTGAAATTTCACACTTGCCAAAAATGTCATCTAAAATTTTGACTGGAGAGAGTACATAAACCAACTCCCTAACTCCATAGATACTAGAACTCGGTAAGTGTAGATTATGTACAATGTACCTCTTTCTGAGGAAGCTCTTGCGAAGCTGGTCCCCTCTGCTCCTTCCTCCTCCTCCTCCTTCTCCTCCTCCTCCTCCACTGGTTGTGAAGAGGATCCCGAGGAGTTGGAGGGAAGTGAATCGAAGAGCGTCGGCCACAGGTTCCGGCAGAGAGTCCCTGTTCTTCTCTATGAACCCCTCGATCTCATAGGTCACCTGACAGTCATGTGATATACAGCACATTAGTCATGTGACTAACAAGTGATATCAAGTACACAATAGAATGGTATAAAGTTAAAGGGCAATGAAATTCTGTCGTCCTTTCCT